AGTTTTCCCTTGTCTGCCACTGATTAACTGTGTCCTTGGATAAGGCACTTAACCTCAGCTGCAAAGCGAAAGTTGGTCTAGACAGTCTAATATTCTAGGACCCTAAGGTTGTTTCTCTAGCATCTATAAAACTTGAGATAAAGAGTCTGTTCACAAGAAGTGTTTTTCACATCCATTCACACCACCCCAATAAAGTAATGATTTATTTCCCCTCTCCAACTGCCCCACCCCACCCCATACACCTCCAGATTCTTGACTGGTCCCTCCATGTGCTTCTACCACAGGTAGAGTACGGGGACTTGGAGAGGCCCATCCCACCAGGCCCTGGGGGCACACCCCCTGCCAAGGCTCAGCATCACCTCCAGCAGGTCCTAGACAGGTTCTACCCAAGGCGCTACAGACATGAGGCACCCCCTGAACAGCTGAGGTAGGCTGCAGGGTCTTGGGGGAGTTGCTGTTGGGGAGGCACAGGCTGCAGAGTGGGGAGGGCCTCAGAGCTGTGATGAAAACATGTTGGCACTTCACTGGCACCTTCTCTCCATCCGCCCCAACCAGGCACTTGGCAGATCTGCTGAGCACAAAGTGGGCGGCTCTGCAAGGCTGCTCCCCTCCTGAGTGCATCCGCATCTACCTGACAGTGGCCCGGAAATGGCCTTTCTTTGGTGCTAAGCTCTTTGCTGCTCAGGTAAGTGCTGGTGGTTTCCAGAGGAAGCAGTGGTTACCATGCCCTAAATTTCTCGTGGAGCTGCTGTTCCCATCTGGTCATGTTTGAGCCAGTCCACTCTGCAGCGCCTGCCTGCACACTACTAACCACCAGGGGTCACTATCTCCACCTATTTCTGCCTTAAGCAGATTTCCATGGTCCAGAGCAGAGTTGTGGTCATTGCTTATGCGCCAGGATTATTTCTGGGTGACCCTCATCTTTCCTTTTTTGACTTCTTTCTCAGTGCTACCCCTGAAAAAAAAGATAGGATCAACTAATTCACACACAAGGATTCAGAGTTGATATGATATCCTGCTTACGAATGCTTCCATCTTTAAAAAAGTGTGAAAGATAGAACAATGTATAATCTAAACAAATACATCTCTACTGACTTAGCATGGTCACAGGGGACTCTAACTACACAGGCAACAGTTAATGCGTGAAGGCCAGGTGGCTGATAGTAATTTCAGCTGGAACTTTTCTTCACCGGGTGTCTGGTGTGCATGAACTTTATACATAATCACAGATGGTATCCTGTCCTCGAAGTTGGATCATGATCCTGTTCACTGAAGGTACAGAGTAGACAACAGACATTCACGCATTCATTCAACAAAGAATTGTTGAGCTCCTATCGTGTCTCGGGCATTTGTGCTAGTTGTTTGAGGTTATAGGAGGTGAGTAAATCACAGTCCTTGCCTTCATGGAGCATCCCATTTAATGGGGGAGATACACATTAACCAAATAATCATACATAGTTTCTCTCTCTAAATATATATAAATTGTTTTACAAGCTGTCACAAGTGCTATGAAGGAAAAGTACAGGGGTTAAGAAGGCATGTAACAGGGGGACCCAACTGGTCTGGGAGGTTGGGGAAAGCTTCTGGAAAAGATGGCATGTCTGTCCATCTCTCTCCCCAGCCTCTTGGGGAGGAGAGAGGGAAAATGGATTGCCCCGCTGCAGCCCACGCTGGGAAAATTAGTCATTCCAGGAATTGTCCACCAACTGGTCACTTTGTTCCCTGGTAGGGCGTTAAGCCCATACGATTGCATTCTTGCTTTCCTATTTCTTTTACAGTTCCTAGAAAACTGGTTGAAGCAAGATGCACTTCAGCTGGGAGAGACCTTGGGTGAAATACTGTCAGCTTCTGTGAGCTGGGAGAAAACAGCCTGTTCTCTACGCCTGTGACAGAGCTGCTAGGGCTGGCCTTTGTTCTGCAGCACAGACCTTCCCAACCAATGTCCTGTGGCAGGATGGGCTATCGGTCCTCCAAGAAAGTGATCCCCTCCCACCTCGAGATAGTTAGTAGGTGGCCAGAGCCCCAAGTCCAGATGTCTCCTGTCTGTTTACTCTAGCATGCTATATAAATACCATCTTTTATGTTTTTCAAGACAAGAAAAAGGTTGGAAATCACTGCCTAGCAGATCCCTGGATGTGCCTTCTTCCTCAGAAAGTTCTTATGGTTCAGAATCTAGCTGTGATATGTCTGATGGGATTTTCCTGTTTCCCCAGCCTGCACAGCTCTCTTCCAAGGAGAATGCTCTGGTGTGGATTGCTGTGAATGAGGATGGTGTCAGCATCCTGGAGCACAACACTATGGTATGGAAGGATGAAGGCTGGCTCCCTGACCCCTCCTACTCCTGAACAGTGTCTTTTCTTCCCTCTGGACTCAAAGGCCTGAACTAAGTGACCATGGTTGCACCCACCCACCCAAGCACAGCTGTCCTCCAGACACAGCTTATAGACATTCATGATGTAGATCTCTAAATTATGACCACTTCCGAGTTCTCCCTTCCTGGTTAAGGTTTCCTGTGCCAGAAGAGACAGGGACTGCTGGTTCCCAGCTCAGGAGGCAGGTGAAAAGTTTCCCCAGAACTAAGTGGCTCTTTCTCACAGCAAGTGCACGTCACTTATCCCTACACTTCAGTGATGACCTTTGGTGGCTGCCGAGATGACTTCATGCTTGTGATTAGATCCATTCCAGACCAGAGCTCTGGAAAAGGCCACACTGAGAAGTTGATCTTCCGGATGGCTGCTCCCAAGGTGGGTCTGACAGCTGCTAAAACATTTTACTCTGATCTGGTATGATGAGGTGGGCTTGGAGCTTAGAGAGGAAGCTGGAATTATGACAGTACTCTAGAAGGAAGGGCCCTGTCTCCAGTAAAGCTTTTGCGTTGTCTATGTCAGTACTCCAAAGGGTTCAGGTGGACTTGCATCTCACTAGTCACTGTTGAGCGGGTAGATGAGCGGCTGGCTGGGGAGGGAACTCACTCTGGTCCACTGCTCCTGTGTGCTTCACATTACCCTTTTTAGTTCTCTCAAGCCCTAGCCATGCAGGCTCGAGTTGGTGCCCACTCTTCCCCTCCTTGCAGCAAGGCCCTGAGCCAGGGCAGCTTTTTCCTCAGGTGTTCTTACTTTATCCTGGGTTCTGCTGTCGCCAAACTAGTCACGAAGTGGGACAATCTGCACATGCTCCCCCTTCCTTGTGGTCCAAAGACCTCTTCTGCTTTCAAGACTTTGTTCCTTCTCAGTACAGAGAATGCTGACTAGCAAAAATAACAATTACAAAGACTCTGAAACCTAAATTCTGATTTATAGTTCCTGACTCCCTTCTGAGAGTAACTGGAAACCTTGTTTTAATCCTAAAGTTGGAGTTTGCCAAACCTCTTCCTCCTTTTAATACCACCTCTGTGAAAGGAGACAACATCCAGACCCCTTCCTCCGGGGAAGCCCCTCCCTGGCCTGGAGATAGATAACCAGAGTGGAACGTTGCTCTTCCTGCTCTCAGGAGGGCACTGTGTATCTTAGAGGACCTCCAGACCCACAGGCGCCCATTTCACTGCGCCTCTGACCCTCACGGTAATGATCCCCTTGGGACATTTTCTCCTGGGTGGGTATTTTAAGAGAGAAAGAAACTGAAGCCCGGGAAGGTTATGTACCCAATATAACAGCTAATAAGTGAGAAAGTGACGATTCAAGCCAAGGCTAGTTCAATTCCTGTTTCTCTGTCTCCTTAGATTGCAGAGGCTACCTTCATCATGGCCAGCTACATGAACCATTGCTCTGCAACTGTGAACCCCCCGACCAACACGCCTGCTGCCCGCCAGCCATGGGAACTGGATGGACGACAGTTCTTTGCATCTGTTCCACGAGCTGCCAAGAGGCCAACGTTGCTGTGAATATTTCTCCTACCCCTCCCCCCTACCACCTGTGCCTTCTGTGTCCTGGGGAATGATACTACTGTGATGGGTCTAACAGCCCTCTCCCCAACCCCGCCCCAGTTTGTTCTGTGAAATGTGTCTTTCAGTGTCCATGAAGCCTTTACTCTCTAGGTGCCTTATAGTGTTTCAGGACCTAACTTTTAAAAATCCAGACCCAGTATAAAAACCACTCTCTTTTTCACAAGAATACTGAGCTCTGGATGCTGCCTGATTCCAGACACAAACACCATGGTCCTGTTACTGGTTCCTGAGGGTGTCAGTGCTGTAAGTCAGGGCATTCTGCACTGATCCTCTCAGGAAGGCTGTTTTTTATATTGTATATGGTCCTTAAGTGGGGATTTATACTTGAAGTTTTCCCAACATCCCTGAACAGGATAGGACTAAAATTTCCAATTCACCTGAACTCTGACAAAAGCCTAGAACTCACTAAAACTGGACTTCCTTTCCCAGATGGGAAAGGTGTTGGCGGGGCTTGAGAAAAAAGAATAGACTCACTTTTCCCCTTCCCCTACTGTAAACAAGTAGGTGTCTGTAGTTTGTAGTGCCTTCTCTGGGGCAGCAGCTCCTATTATTGCAGGACAAGCTGCTGTCCCTCACACTTGGCTACAAGCAAGGGCAGGAGACAGGTCCATCCTGACCTCTCCCTGTCTCATTTAATGACTGGACAGGGCTCAGTGAAGGCTGTGCTCACTACTGTAGGACGAGGTGGCTGTCACTTTTTCCCCACTCTTTGAAAGACCAAGCAAATGTGCTCTGCTTTTGCTGCTCTGTGAGGCCACCAAAGATGAGTCAGAAACAGAGGACCCCCTCCAGGCTCGTGGGCCTAGCTCTGCTCTTCAAGACTTCTGGCGAACTTCCGCTGGGAATCAGTTCGAGGGCAGAGGGCACTTATGCGCTATCTGTCCTAGCCTAAGAGCATCAGGCAAAGGAAACGGAAAGTTTCCTTCACCTTTTGTCTTCCTGATGATACCACTACCCCCCACCCCCAACTGAGACCTTCTGTTAAGTCAGAGGAGATGATCTTTGTTTCTACCTTCCCCTAACAGAGAAAAAAAAAGACGAAAGAGTTCATTCATACTCTGATCTTCCAACACTGGAGAAACTGAGTTTTATTTCATAGCTCTAAGGCAGTCTTACCATTTGTCAATAAAGTGCTGAAAACTGTATGTTTATGGTTTAGCAGTAGCATCCAAGAACCAAGCCTTTAACTCCAACAAAGTGTCTGTTGTTGCACACTGTGAAAACTGCAAGGCTGGAACTAGTTTATCTGAACACCTCAGCAGCTGTAAGCTTCCCCTCTCACCCTTTAAACTGACAAGCATGATGAAAAAAGAAGCACAACAGAGTGTCTGCCTCTTTTAAATGAACCTGACTTTGCAAGGCTGGCAGTTTTACAGCTGTCTCCCATTTCTGTTCCTGCCTCCTCCCAGGATTTGGGATCTAGCTGAGACATTTCTACCTCGAACAAGTCACGTGTCCCACAGGTTCCTGAATAATCCCTCTGGGGCTGGTGTAAAAGGCAGAAATTACAGCTCTGGTTTTGTAGTATCTTGAGTGTCCCTAAGGCCAATGAGGATATTATCTACTTGGGAGTTTAAAAAAGAAAAGGATCCCAAAGAAAAAGTAAGCGAGAAGGGAGCTGTGTTCATACTGAATTTGGGGGTCAAGCTCTTTCACTCACCCTCTCTCCTTCCCAACCCTTCAGGAATCCTCCTTTAGTTGATTAATTTGACACAGAAGAAACTGCCTTATAAACAAAGCCTTCTATAGTTTGTGTGTTGATCCTTGTTTAACATGCCTGGAAACCAAAGTCAAATTTCTGTCTGGCCTTTTGTCTCATCCCTCTTGGGAAAAGCAGTTTTTGAAACCATAGACAACGCTGAGTAACAGAAGGGTATTAATGTGCTTGACACCCATGACTGAAATGCCACGTTCATGTCTGTCAATAAAAAGCAGCTGTCTGTGAAGCAGGCAATTATCGTGTATGTCTTGGAAGATCTGTTTATTAAGAGAGTTGTCATAAGTTAACCCTGCACAGAACACAGGAACTGGGTGGACAGAGACTAGTCTTTTGTAGGACATTTCTTCCTGCTAAAAAGTACCTGAATGACTTTTTTCCCCCTAACTTTTATACAGGGATACTAGGCACTTGGAAATGATCTTTCTCCAGAGATCTAATGTCAGTTTCCCATTGTCTTGTTCCACAAATTTCAACAAAAAGTAAACTTGAATGTGCTTAGGAATTTTACAAAGTGCTTTGTCAACATTACTTTTGACATATACCTTTCTTAAGGTCTCTCTTCAGTTGGTAAAGTAGGCAAAACCTTACAAGGGGAACACTAAAATACAAATAAATACTTGGGTCAACATCACACGATGAGTTAGGTTTCCAGTCACCTGCTCTATGGCTCTGAGATCCACTGCATCCATACTGGTTCCTAGGACTGTGTCCACCTGATGGCTTAGAATACAGAAAATAAAGCAGCCACTATGGCTGAGGAGTCATCTCCCATGGAAGACAGTACTGGCCTTCTGAATGCTGGGACTCATGGGCTTGTTGAGGTGGCTTTCTGGTGTGCCAGGATCTCCTGGCAGCTCCTGTACACTTCAATCAAGCAGTCCAGCCGGGGCTTTGCACTCTGAATTCCAAAGGGGAGAAATGCAGAGTCGAGATGAATGGAAGAGAGTGCTTAGTGGTGCTGCATCCATGTGCAACCTCAATCTCTCACCCACATCAAAGGGTCTAAAAACGGCACAGGTATGCACTCAGAGAGGCAGTTCAGGCCTCACAGCACCTTGCTAGGAGGAGTCCCAAACTAGGCCCACAGCCTAGCCTGTGAACTGTGCAAAGCAGGCACTCAGAAGACAGTTTTTAATCTGTCTAAATTTCATGATCTCCATCTAAGAGCAATCAAGAGGAATAACAAGGACAAACTCTCTCAGGAAATGTCACAAGCTGTGAAACAGTCCTCAGAGACAAGATGGGCAGTTTAATATGTAAGAAAAGCCACAGAATGGGAAAAATATATGTGGAAAGCATATTTAATAAAAAGTTTGCTACCTAAAATATATAGTTACAAATGCATAATTAATATCTAGATTCTATTTGACTAATAGAGGAGAGGAAGAGTTTAAAACAAGTGGAAATACTGATAGGTAATACAAGGCAATAAGAAAAGTCTCTGTCATTTAAAGAGATACAAATTTAATAACTTTGAAGTCCTTTACCTACATACTAAACTAAAAAATAGCTAAACCCACTGTTAGCCAAGACTGTAGAAAAACAACTACAAATTCCCAGAAGTATGGTAAAGTTGTCCAGTCTCTGGAGCCAAATCTGAAACACTGCAAAAATCTATGAAACAATTCACAAGCTTTAATAAAATAATTGAACTATAAGGCAAAAGAATTTTAGCTTAGCTTCCTTAAATCCTTTGTGAAAAAAAGGGCAGAGAGGCAGAGTTAACTGCATAGGTATACTCTATATACCTATAAAGTAATTCATTATAATCATGTTTGTATAAGCGTTTTTTTGTAAAAGCAAAGCAAAAAATAACCTGGACATGATTTCAAAAACTAGCAGTAGAGTGGCTAAATAAACTGATACTCGACAGGATGATATAATTATTTAAAATAGTAAGTACAGTGGCCTTTGTAGATGCATGAAAATATGCATATTAGATTTAAAAAGCAAGACAAAATAGTGTATAACAGTATGTATAGATCAATAACATCTGTGTAAAATATTGATAGACTGAGTCAAAGTAGATGAATCGTGATTTATGGGTAGAACTTACTATATATTTATTTTTTCTCTAAAATTTGTATAAATTGGTAACATTTCTAGAAGCCTATATTTGCCTCAGAAAGGAACTTCTGAAATAACTAAAATCCTCCCTAAAAATAGCTGTCAGGTATCCTCAAATACTCTTCACAACAAAAGTTTACATTCCTACTGAACATAAGTAGCAGTGGATATACAGATTGAGGGAAAGGTGGAGGATTTCTTGGAGAAGAAACTTAAGAAAAGTGTTCTGTGCTCACCTGGAAGACAGGTACTACTTGAGATATCCCATGTGGTTCCAGTGGATCCTTCAATAAAATGCAGAGGTAGTAAATGACCTTCTGCTGTAAGAAAATAAACCAAACAGCAGAGATGTAAGTGAAACTCATTCTGTTTTCTTTTTCTTCAAGGGATAGCTCAAAACTTTTTCATAAATGGTTATCTCTAAGTAGTAGAACACTTGATAGCTTTTCAAGTGAGGGAGAAGTATATTTTCATTCTTTAAATGAAAAGAGACAAAACAACAGAAACAACAACAACCAGAGATGATTTTGAAGCTGGGTTAGAAAATGAAGTTGAAATGCTGACTCCCTATCCATGAAAACCTGCTGCACCTCTTTAAAAATAAAGGGATGTTTCTTTTCCATATAAGTTTCACTTTTATCATTCATAGACATGCCAGCTAAAAAGGAAACACTACAAGTACTAGAACAGAGAGTCCTCAAGGTTAATTCTGTGACATCAAACACTTTAGGTATTAAGACTCAGTTTAGATCCAGGCATACCCCATGGGCTACCTCCTCCAGAGAGGCCTGTAATACTTACCACTTAAATACTTACCATGTAAATAGCCTCATTAATGACAACATCCTTCACCTTGCCCATCTCAATGAAGGTGGTACTTTCTTTGCCTGAGGCATAGGATGAAGTCATCTGGATGCCAAGGGAATCAATGATTAACAGAGTCTCCTGATCAATCTTCACGAAATGGAGGTAACCAAGCAGGCCTAAGAGGGTGATGAAGATGGCAGCAGAGAGGATCATGCTGTTCTAAAGAAAGAGCCAGACACAGGCGGTAAGATTACTAAATGGTCCTCCGCATATATCTCTGCTGTTTAATAAGTCAACTCCAGGCAATGCAGAAAAAAGCCTTTGTTCTGCTATGAGTTGAACAGATGGGAGGAACATATATGGCGGAAGAGGAAATCACTTTTATTTGGGCTCTGAAGTGCTATGAAAGCATATGATGAAATACATCCAGACAACTAATGGATACGTCTGGGGAGGAGAACCTCCATCAGCAAAACCTCCACCATCACACCACTCTCAGAGATTTTTCTTCCAAAATTGCAACTTAAGGACTCAGACCTTTTCTTCTCACACTCCATCAGCAAAAGTTCAAAATCATAGACTGAACAATAAAATGCTTAGTACAGTGTAGCAGATAACACTCAACAGCCACTCCTCCTTCCTATTAGAACTTGGAGTGAATCATGATTGGTTCCCACTCCTGCCAATGATTAGTTTCAAAATGGACACATGACTACTCTGGCCAATGAGATGTGAGGGGAGGTCTTCTGGAGGGGCTTCTGGAAAACTAAGTCCATCTTAAAAAGAGATCTAAGGAAGGGAAGGTCCCTTCGCCCAGAGGTTTTGATGCCTGGAACTACTATGGGCTCCGCCAGACCATGTGGAAAGCCAGGCTGAGAACGAGTAGAGTACACCAAGGGTGGAAGAGCAGTAAGATGGAAAGAACCCAAAGCAACTAGTCTCTTACCCCTAGAGTCCCCCACCTCCTGACTTCTTGTTTTGTTAAATAATAAAGATCTTATCATTTAGGGCTCTTTTCATTATTTTGGGTGGTGACTACCTGATGTGTTAAGGCTGACTGACTAGCTGATATGACTGATGTGTTAAAGGCTTAAAAAATGGTATTTATTCCTTTGATTCTAAGACACATTTACAACCTTTTAACATTTCCGAAGCTAAAATGTATTTTTCTATTGATGTATGTTTTTTCATGTGGCATTTTTTTCTCTTTTTTTCCCAAAAAGCTATTAATTAGAAGGATGGCACAGGAAAAAAATCATTGATGACCTAGAATCAAGAGATTCAGTAATTATGACTGTGATTCCTTGAGGGCAAGCAGTGTCTTATTATTCTTTGTTACTGACAAGACACCCTCCTTGACATAACTCTAGTCAAGCTCTTCTAAGCCCCTGGCCTTGGCTTCCATCCTTGTTTGGCCTGCAGTGCCCATCAAGTTGTAGCAAGAATCTTGCTAAATCAATATAGAGAGAACCCTCACCCTTGGTATCTGATCAGCCTGGCCTGCCTTCAGCAAGAATCCTGTCAAGTCAGTTTAGCCAGAATCCCCCTTTACCTCTGATGTTTCCTTACAGTAATTTTCCATCCACTGACCCCTATCCTGCTCCTTGGCTATGAATTCCAACTTGTCCATGCTGTATTCAGAATTGAGCCCAATTCTATACTGAGGTCTCTTTTTTCCTACTGCAATAGTTTCTGAATAAAATCTGTTTTTACCACTTTACTGACCGGCTCTGGTTTTCTTTGACAGTACCTTTCTACTTTCTTCTGCCTAACACATAGTATTAGATCAGGAGTCTGCAAACTATTTGGGCCTGTGGTTCACCTTGAGCTAAGAATGGTTTTTACAATTTTTAAAGGGTTGTTAAAAAAAAAAAAAGAAAGAAAAAGAAACAGAAAAATATGAGACAGAGACCTGTAAAGTCTAAAATATTTACTATTCGGCCTTTTAAAGAAAAAGGTTGCTGACCTGTGTGCTAGATAATTAGTTGCTGATTAATGAATGGGGGATGGAGAAATCTATGTGCTGCGTCTCTGATGATCCAGAAATATCTACTTTGAGTTACTTAAATGCCTAGTATCTAGTACAGTGTCTTGTACATAGTCTGAAAGCATTATGGAAGGATGGAGAGAAATAAAATTCAGTTCTGGCCCTCAAAGATTTATTAGAGGCAAGATTAATACATATAAAATACTTCTGGAGAATACTATGATACTGACTGAAATGCCTAAGAAAGGATTAAAAGAGAGAGCCAGAAAGACAAAGACTAAAGCACACAGGAACATCCTATGAAGACTTCCAAGGAAGCAGAATTTAATTGGTGCAGAGGAGGTGGTGGTTATTGACAGATATACTAAATTGAGAAAAGGAAGGGGGAAGAACATTCCATATTGGAATAAATAAGGAAAAAACCTGGAATTTTAATAGAACAGTGAATTCAAAAACTGGAGGGAGGGCCGGGCCCATGGCGCAGCGGTTAAGTGCGCGGGCTCCGCTACTGGCGGCCCGGGTTGGGATCCCGGGCGCACACCGATGCACCGCTTCTCCGGCCATGCTGAGGCCGCGTCCCACATACAGCAACTAGAAGGACGTGCAACTACAACATACAACTATCTACTGGTGCTTTGGGGGAAAAAAAGGAGGAGGATTGGCAACAGATGTTAGCTCAGAGCCGGTCTTCCTCAGCAAAAAGAGGAGGATTAGCATGGATGTTAGCTCAGGGCTGATCTTCCTCACAAAAAAAAAAAAAAAAAAAACTGGAGGGCAAGAAGAGATGAAGAGCAGTACATGTCTAGGGGATTTGATCCATATCAGTTTTTTAATATGGTAATCTCTGCCCAAAACTTCATTACTACCTGCATTTTTTACATTTCATTTTTCTGTCTGAAATTCTAACAATTCAATATTCATCTGGGTTGAAGTTAAGACACATGTTTTAATGAATTCCTTCATCAGATTTCTTCTCACTCCTAGCTGAGATTCATTACTCTGACAAACAGTTTTGAATAGGGGGAAAGATAAGAATTTTGGTACACAGAGCCCTTAAGAAGTGTTGCAGTGGAGTTTAAAGGAAGATGAGGTTACTGAGTCCTAGGCACTTGATGGGGGTAAGTGGGATACACCACGATGAGAGAGATGAGTACAAAAGGGAGGTGGATTAATAACAAACTTCTCCTAATTAAAAATTTTGTCTAAGCAAGTCCTCCCCAAGGAGGAGACATCATAATATGGTAGAAAAGAAAGGGTTTCAGAGTTAGACAGCCCTGGGTTTGAAGCCCAGGTATGCTACTAGCTTTGTAACTTCGGAGAAGTTCATTCTTTCTGAGCCTTGGTTTTCTTCTAAGGTTGAAATGGGGCATTCAGTAAAGCAGCTGGCACGTAGTGGGCATTTAATAAATATCTGTTCCCTCCTCCTCACATGAGCCAGAACTCAAGTTAGTATTAAAATTCAACTATATTATAAATTAAATCTTTTTTGTGGGGGGGGGAAGGACTGTCCTGGCAACTTAGCCATTTCAACTGACTTATGAACAAACTTTTAGATACAATTTGGTACAAATTAGGGCAGTCTTAATTCTGCATACATCTATGCTAAATTACCACGCTCTGAAAATATGCTCTGATGGCAGAAAAGCTAACGGATGCAGTAATGGAAACAATATGCAAATATCCTGCTGCATTTAGCTCTGGTCAGATCACTCCTAGAATAATATATTCAATTCAGGGTACCACACATGAAACTAAACTCATTCTGAAAAGGGCAATTAGGATCATTCTTTTTATTTGAGGGCTGTCACAAAGCTCCTGCATGTGACCCTCACAATACTGTGAAGGTGGCATGGCAGATATTAATTCCACTTTAGAGATGTGAAAACTGACGCTCAGAAAATAGGAAAGAGTCTGAAAATTGAGCACAGAAACCACCCATCTCAGAAATTTCATAATTCTTTAGAAAGTACTTAAAGTTGGCGAAGGGGTTTGTGAAGGGAGGGTAAGCTGCCTTGAAAAACAAAGATTACGAAGAAGTATAAAAGCTGCTATCAAGCTCTTAAATACCTTGTGTGTATGTGTGACACACACACACATTCTGGAGGCAAAGACAGTTTCTAGAAGACTATATAAGATATTGTTAGCAGTGATACCTCTGAGTGGAAGAGATGGACGAGTACGACCCACTTCACAGTTCTCTGAACTCCTGGAACTGAGTTACTGTGAGCATGGACTATATACGGCACGTGGAAGTTAGCCTGTCGTGCACAGACTAGATGTACGCGGAGTGGAGCCACAGAGCAGAGCGGCGACCCCGGAGAGGTGTAAAGTACAGAAGCACAAACTTCGCTCAACGTAACGAAAAGAGCAGCGAATGGCGTCCCCGGGCCAGCGAGTTCCCGCCCTCCGGCCCTACGACTTTAGGAGGGTCCGGCGAGAGGTCCGGGCTCGCCACTAAGACCCCAAAGACCCTTCCAAACCCAAGCCCCCGACTCCGACCGCGGGAAGGGGCCGACCGGCCATTACCTCGTAGAGGGTGAAGAGTCCGTAGGCCGCTAGCCACACGGTGCAGGTGACAGCAGTGAGCGAGCGCAACGAGAGCCGAGGGCAGCTGAGGCAGAACTCCCGGCAGGACGGGGAGTAGTAGCGGCGCTGCAGAGCCAGGCGACCGCCGCAGATATCCGAGAAGCTCTGCTCGTCCTCCATGACCCGCTCGCCCCCACACGATCAGGCCGCGCCGCTCTAGCCCGCCCGCCGCGTCCTCTCGCCGGCTCTAGACTCACTTCCGGAGAACGGGTTTGGCCACGCCCCCCCACGCTCCGCGCAGCCGCAGTGGCACGCCGACAGCCGTGGAAGGGTCTTGGGGGTTCAGTTTTCGCGCCTGGGCTCGCCCGGGATTCTATGATTGTCTGCTCTAGAGGTTCGTAGGGGGCCAACAATTCAGCGGTCAGGTTAAAACCGCTATTAACGTGATTTTGCTCGACAAACTGATTTCTGTTTCTAAGGCAGAGTGCGCCCCAGGAAGACAGTCCGCAGGTATTCATTCGTTCCACGTACTCATTCACTCATTCCTGCGCCAGGTAGTTTTAGGTGCTGAGGATTCAGAGGTGAACAATATTGACAAGCTTCCTGCTTTCGAGTAGTTTCCTTCCTAGTGAGAGAAATATGGAAATAATTTCAGAGAGTTCTGTTGGCAATAATAGGACCGGCGTGGGTGGCTTGGGGACTTTCGATAGGGCAGTCGGGAAAGTCTCTCTGAGGAAAGACACTGGAGTACAGGGATGAGGAGCCAGACTGGTCCGGGGGAGCTCTGGAGGAGAAATTTGCTAGGAAGGAGGACCAGGAAAGGCAAAGCCCCCGAGGCTGGGACAAGGTTGGCTTATTGGAGGAATCAAAAGGTCAGAGAGGCTGACGCATGGGGAATGCAGTTGTAAGCTGGGGAGGCAGGTAGGGGTCAGATCCAGGAGGGTCTTGTAGGGGCCTGGTAAGGAGCTTGGATTCCATTGCCTGGGATTTCTCTTTCCCAAACCACGCGTGGAGCACTGAGTAGGCAGACAAGTCCTGGCTGGGAGTTTAGCAAAAGTGGAAGATGCAAACGGCATGGATAATAAAATTACTAAAATGAGTAATAGCAGCCTGTGAGTTCCCTTTTTTTTACTTCGGATGTGACCTGAGAGTGGTTGTGTAGCTTGTTAAAAGAGTTATGGTGCTTCAGCCCTGAGGCGGCATCATGTATTAAAAAATTGATCCGTTTGTGTATGAAGATAAATGTCATAACGGTCTCACCAGCTTTAAATCTCGCTGATGAAAGTCAGGTTTAATTTCTCCATTTTCACCCAGAATTTTGTTCCCCCCTTTTTTTCTAAAAGATTTTCTTCAAATATTGCTTTGTTTTCCCAATTTTATTTCTGTACCTTGAAACTTACCAAGCAATACACCCCTCTCATTTTTGTAAATATCATGTGATGGTTTTTGTAATTATAAAACTGATGTTTGCTCATTGTGGAAAATTTGAAAAATACAGAAAAGAAGAAAAATTTAAACCACCCATATTTCCACGAGAGATAAGCACTATCGATGTTTTGGGGAAACCTCTAGTCCTGGAGTTCTTAACCTGGGCTCCATGGATAAAATCAAAATTTCATCTTTCGTTTCATTAACTTCTAATTGAAATTCAGCATTTCTTTTGCTTATGAATGTAGCAACAAACCAATTAGTAATACTTGTGATTTTTGTCACCAATAGAAATCACAGATATTTTCATTTCATAATAATTGTTAGTTATATCAAAGTGTCATTTCCACTCATCATTACTTCAAAATTGCAGTAACTATTAGACCCACTACTAGGGTCTTGTTATTTAATGTGTCGATGGAGACACATATAACTATAACATTTTTAAAATATTTTGAGAACTATATTTTAATTCAGTTTTCTTTGTACTCCTATGTATTTGTTCATTTTGAAACATTATTGTGATAAGGAGTCCCTTAGGTTTACCAGACTTACGGAGGGTCTGTGGCACAAAAAAGTTCAAGAACCTGTGCAGGCTCAGAAGTTTCACAACTGTAGAGTCATAGATAGAAAAAAAGACACCTAAATATACTTACTTTTTTAAATAATTTGGGATAGTGTGGTAATGTAATTCCAAAATCTTTATAACTGCTTTGCTCTGTCAGATCACAGCGTCATCTTAACTCTATTATGCAGTTTGGCACCTCAGTAGAAATGGAAACCTATGTATTGCCATTTACCTAGATGCCAACTGGGAAATCAAGTGACAAGCTCTCTTGACCATGACAGTGTAAAAACAGCAAGGAGTGATTCTTTTAGCTCTCAATGTTGGATTCCAAAGTATTCCCCAGACTCACAAGTTCAGTGGAATATGTCAACAACGAAGGGCAGCTAATGAAAAGAACAGACTTAGCAGTTGGCAAGTTTCTCCAAGGAGGTTTGATATCTTTTTGCAGGGTCACTGAAGGAGTCTCACAACTAATTCTCTAGTGAATTCAGTTGTGGAGAAGCAGAGAAAGGAAGCATGAGAAACGTGTACGCTTGTATTTGTCAAAGTAGGCTAACTGCTATTTAAAAACAAACACCTCACAATTTCAGTGGCTTAACACAATAAATTTTTATTTATTGTCTGTATGCTGTTCCACTTGGGTGCTCCTGGTCAAATGACTCATAATTTTTTGCCAAGTGGTGATTCAGAGACCCAGTCTCCTTCTATCTAGTGGCTACCCTTCCTTGGGGCCTCCTGTGTTCCTCTCCATTGGATCCTTTACATCTGGTCAACATGTTGATGAGGGGCAAGAATGGAGGATCATGCATGGGACAGTTTTATGGCAGAGCCTTCCACCCACATTCCACTGGGCCAGAACCCATTAACATGGCTATACCTAACTTCAGAGGAGGCTGGGAAACACGGTCTGTCAGTATCCCTAGTGGGGAAAGAGAAACGATTTGGTGAATAACTAGCCAGTCTTTGCTGCGCTTTCCAGAGTTCTGGCTACAAGAACCAGGGAATATATTTGAGTGCATGGAGCATTGTGATGGCAGTACACAGGCAGTACACAGTAATCTGACTTACTTTTGATAAGATGGGTAGTTATTTCTACAGTTGAAGTTATTCTTAGAACCTGAATGTCTATCAGTATGAATAGTAAGAAAAAATCTAATGAAAGAATTCAGTTAACTTTTTACTTTTATGGCCCCTGCTGGGTTCTTAAAACTCTTCTTTAGAAACTTCTTTTAGTATTTGCTTACACTTGTGGATTGAGTACTTGTTCTAAGAATACTGTCTTATACTGTAGTTTTTATTCTATATACTTTTTTATGATGTAGCATTAATGAGTGCTGCTATTGTGTTAACTGAGAGTGAGTCTCGTCTTCAGGGCCACTTAACCCATGGGGAGAAAAAGTAAAGGCCCATATAAGTAAAAAATTCCAACTAAATAGGGTTTTAAAAAGATAGATATAACACCTTTCATCTTGTTTAGAATTCCACTTTTATTTATCCATATAGTGTTTATGAGTGTATCTCTGTGTAGCTTTTTTAGTGGTTGCTCTAGGTATTATATTATATATACACGACTTTATTAGAAAAAAGTCTTCCTCCTGTGTTTCTCCTTTAGTCTCACACTACTACCACACTACCAACAACCAGCTGGGTGTCCTACAATTTAACTCAATTCTGACACTATCTACCTGGAGATAGTGTCAGATCCCACAGTTTAAGGGCTCAGTCCAACAAGACTTCCCCCACAAATTCAGATGCCAATTGCCTTTGGAGCCAATTGCAAGTAGTAGGTCCCCAGGTTCCCCACGACATCTGTCTGATATGGCTACAAGTTGGAGGTTCCCATGCCCTTGGATTTGATTGTTTGCTAGAAGAGCTCACAAAACTCAGGGAAACACATTTTCCAGTTTATTATATGGTAAAGGATATGATAAAAGATACAGATGAAGAGATACATAAGGTGAGGTATGGGAGGGTCCTGAATGCAGGAGTTTCTGTCCCCATGGAGTTGGGGTTCGTCACCCTGCCAGTATGTGGATGTGTTCACCAACGTGGAAGCTCTTCAAACCCTGTATTTGGGATTTTTATGGAACTTGCATTATGTAGGCATGATCCATCATTAACTCCACTTCCAGCTCCTTTCCTCTCTCTGGAGAATGGGGAGCAGGGCTGAAAATCCCAAGCTTCTAATCATAGTTTGGTCTTTCTGGTGACCTAGGAGTCCACCAAGAGTCACCTCATTAGAACAAAAGACACTGCTGTCACCCAGGAAACTCAAAGGGATTTAGGAGCCCTGTGTCAGAAACTGGGGTCGAAGACAAACTATTAGAACAAAAGATGCTTCTAGTGCTCTTATCACTTAGGAAATTACAAGGGTTTTAGGAGCTCTGTGCCAGGAACTGGGTGCAGAGACCAATATATATATTGTCTATTATCTCACAACAAATCTACTGGTATCAACATTTTACCAGTTCGAGTGAGGTACAGAAACTTTACTTCCCTTTACAACCATTTATCCTACCCCATTTATAATTGTCTTAATATTTCCTCTACATTCATTGAGAACCACATCAGACTGTGGCATAATTTTCACTTCAGCCATCAAACATAATTTAGAAAACTCAAGAGGAGAGAGGAAGTCTATTGTGTTTACTCATATTTTTGCTCTTTTGATTTTTTTCTTCCTTCTTTTTTTTTTTTTAAAGATTTTATTTATTTATTTTTTTCCCCCCCAAAGCCCCAGTAGATAGTTGTATGTCATAGCTGCACATTCTTCCAGTTGCTGTATGTGGGACACGGCCTCAGCATGGCCGGAGAAGCGGTGTGTCGGTGCGCGCCCGGGATCCAAACCCGGGCCGCCAGCAGTGGAGCACGCGCACTTAACCGCTAAGCCACGGGGCCGGCCCATTTTCTTCCTTCTTGATGTTCCAAAATTCCTTCTCTTATTTCCTTTCTGCTCAGAGAACTTCCTTTACCCATTCTTTTAAGGTAGGTCTGTTGGTGACAAATTCTCTTAGTTTTCCTTCATTTGAGAATGTCTTGATTTCCCCTTCATTCCTGGAGGATATTTTTATTGGATATAGAATTCTGGGTTGACACTTTTCTTTCAGCACCTGGAAAATATTGTGCCACTTCTTTCTGGCCTCCGTGGTTTCTGATGGGATATCTCTGTCATTTGAATAATTTTACCCCTATAGGTAAGGTGTTGTTTCTGCATCACTGCTTTCAAGAGTTTTTTCTTTGTCTTTAGTTTTCAGAAGTTT